TCATTCTGTGCTGCTTGTATTGAATAGGACAGCTGAAGACAGACAGGAAATGTGGGGAGGAGAGAGTGGGGGATGACATGCAGCAAAGGGCTGAGGTGGGATTCGAACTCACGGCTACTGAGAAGAGGAGTTTAGCCTCCGTACACGGGATGTGTGACCTAACCACTGGGCCATCGGTGCCTAAATATGCAACACACACTGTTTTAATTCATTACTGCTAAATTAAGGCCCAGATGAGAAGTTAGGGTGAGTACGTTCATTTTTAAATTGTTAACCCAATGGGCCGATGCTAACAGGGATGCCCCTGTATACTTCATGATCATGATTGTGCCCCACCAGGGAAAGTCATAACATGATAATATATTTGTGAATCATTGACAATGATTAATTAAAACAACTTCTGATTATGATTTCACTTGTAAGACTTGGCCAGTGGCAGTAAAGTAAAATACAGCGAGTGAGTTAGAAGACTGAGCACCACTGATGACTTGAGAAGTAATGAAGGTGAGGCAAAGTCATTAAGCCCCCATCTGCCATCAGAGAAAGAAACAGAGGCGTAATGGGGGAAGATTGTGAGGATGTGTAACTTCAGTGCTTGTGTTTAATCTGTTTGACGACCCTGTTCATGTAAGAAGTTCTATTTCATACAATTGTAATTAATATATTTAAAATGACCACTAAACGTTTAACATTCCTGTTGCAGACCTCTATCAAACTCTCATTATAGGACAATGTAGACAGTCCTCAGTGTTTGTAGTGGATCCTGTTTTACTTAAAAACAATCACACGCTTCATCTCTGAGACTAACGCTATAGGCAGTCAGTGTCTCGGCCAAGAAAAATGCAGCAACGGCCTACAACATTTTCACTATGAGAATTCAGCTGCAATTTTAGAAACTATTTAAATAAAAAAAAACACACTGAAGTCAAAGGAGGAACAAAGGAAATCAATCAATCAATCAGTCTTTATTTGTAAAGAGTCAATTCATAACAAATGTTGTCTCAAGGCACTTTACAAAAAGAGCAGGTCTAGACCGTATTTTATTTACAAAGATCCAACATTAATCCACCATGAGCACAAAACTAAGCAACATTTAACAAAGTTAAAGTGGCAAGAAAAAAGAGGCAGCAACCTTGAGTAGAACTAGACTCATATTGAACAACCATCTGCTGACTGCAAATTAAAAAAGGGGAGTCATGGGGCGCCAGTAGCCTAGTGGTTAGTCTGTGCAGACCATATGTTGAGGCTGTGGTGCTCCAAGACGGCCTGGGTTCAAGTCCGACCGGTGGATGTTATTCCCCACTCTCTCTCTCTCTCTCCCTGATTTATGACTCTATCCACTGTCCTATCTTTACAATAAAAAACCCCAAAATAAACCTTTAACATACATGGCTCCATTTAAAGCTGACACAAATGCACCAACAGTGAACACACTACAGATACAAAAGAACACCAGAGAAACCTATAATGAGCAATTTTTTTGGAAATGAAGTTGATAAAAAATATGCTGATTTAAGTGGCATCTGTCCGAAACCTTGATTCTGGCCTTGAACTTGATAACTTCTGTGTTATCAGAGTTTATCAAAAGGCTATTTTGTGACATCCAGTCTCTTACATCAGTTATGCAGCGAATGAGAATGCTTGGATGCCAGCTTATTGCATTCACATGGTTCATTGGACAGATAAACCTGTGTATCATCAGCATAACGATAGGATGAGCATTGCATTGACAAAGAAAGGTGAGTCAGATCAAAAATGTATCCCCAACAGTTTGTTTGTGCTGTGGGGAGGATGTAGGATCATTCATCATCACAAAGAGGTTTCTATTTGATAATTATGAGGAATGAACAACGTGTTTTGCCTAGTGGTTTGCTCAGGTTCGACATTATTTGAATTTGTTTTGTACTTCTAGCAACCACTTTGAAACACACCATCACATTAATTATAAAGCATCAGTTCCTATTTGTTTTATTTTAGCTGCAGTTGCAGGTGCTTCCTGAATCTATCTGGTGCCTGAATGAATACAACTCTTGTCCTCTTCTCTGTTGGGGTCAGGCCTGAGGTTTCGCTCGGTTTTTGGACGGAAAGTCACAGCGGAATAGATCAGGCTGTCTGCCCCAGAGATTCTGTGAATAGAAGTTTTTTTCAGTCACTCTTCTCACATAAGAATACTAAATCGTTAACTTTCAAACAACTTTAGGTAAATGAAGCACAAGTTTCGGTAAAGCTAGTGACACATTAAACATTACCTCGTCCTGTTGTGGGTCCTGTTCTTCAATATGAGCTACATGAGGGAAACAATGTGTGGTCAACTTCGATGTACAACATGGCACAGCACTGTTTTTGATGCAGTGTAATAGGATTATATGGTTTTGTCTGTCATATAGGTTAAATCAACTAAATACGATTACCTTTGTGAAGCCATTTGATTTTAACAGACAGACAAATGATGATCATCACCATGACAACCACCAACCGACCAGGACCACGATCACCAGCTTTGTCATTTCATAATTCACTTCTACAAAAAAAAAAAAATAATTAGACACTGTACATTTTACTTTGAGTTGCTTGAGATTTGATTTATATTTAAATGGACCAAACAACATGACAGGAAGGCAGGAAGAACACAAAATTTAAAGTATATCACAAGTTTTTTAAGGCCCATATCTTTAAGTTCTTAAAATTGTATCTAAAGTTAAGCTGATGCCATCAAAATCCTTTTTTTTCAGGGACTGCATCAATAAAAAGACAGACCAAACTTTGAAGGGAACTTACCTTGAACCTCTAAAAATGTTGCATCAACAATCAGTGGATATCTGCTCAAATAATATCCACAAAAATAAAGTCCAGAGTCGGACAAATCCACTTGTTTGATGTTGAGGAAGACAGTGGAAATGTTTGATGTCATGTTGAATTTTCCATCTTTGAATCCACTGCAGAATGTAGCAGGTTCAAAAGACCTAAACATATGGGAGATGCAGCGAGGCTCACTTCTGTTCAGTCTGAACCAGTATCGAGTGTAGTACTGGAAAAGTTGGAGCACTGCAGTGTGACTTCATCACCAGACTGGACCTCCACAGTCTGAGACTTCAAACCTGAGACGGAGATCCAAACTGAAAAAAACAGAAGTGTTAATCCTTAAGCTGACAAGATAGTAGGATTTCAAACTTTTTGTTTTATTTATTGTTTTAAAAGTAATGACTTCAGTCACAGGTGAAGAGTTAACCACTTACTGAGGCTGCAGAGAAGTGAAGCTGTTATCAAGATACAGTTCCTCATTGTGCTCTAGTTAGTGTGTGACTGAGGTCTCTCTTTATACAACAGACCTCCTGCAAGGAAGTTTGAAGAGGCAGGGTTTCTTTTATGTTCAGAATTTACTGAAGTTTATTTACTGAAGTTGTTTTCAAATGACATGCTGGGGCTTGTTTGAATCCAATGAGTCTTATTCTAAAACTTCACATTACACCATTTAAAGTTTCTTCACTAGCTTAGGTCCTTCATATGTTTTAAATAAGATGCAAAAAGACGATATATACTGCAAGGATCTTCAAATGAAGCAGAAATCAGGTTGTGTGATCATACACACGTTTTGTTGAGGTTATAAAAATGACCAAACCATAAATGCCAAATTGTCAATGGCCTTCTAACTATGTGATTTGAGGTTGTTAAATGTATCGTACATAACAGCATCTCAGTCAACATAATTCAGCTCTGGTTAATGGCTACTGCCAAAGCTCTACTAACTGGATGTAAACAAGCACAGTGCCGGACAGCATCTCATGTTATGGAGCGTATCCGCAGGGGTTTGTTAACGTAAATGGAGATAAAGTTTTATGTAGATAGATAGTTTATTGTCCCAAATGGATATTTCTATTCACAGATTAAGATTAAGTCAGTAATTGTTATATAAGTTAAAATGGCAGATAACCAGTACAGGAAGGACAGAAGGCTGGAGGTGCTGGCACTGCTAACATCAGCAACACCCAGCACAACACTTTGACATCTTTTATGTGCAGACACATTCAAACCGTGTTTAGCCATGATACATATAAAGTGCTTGATTTTGACAGATTTTCAAGACTGGTTGACTTAAATTTGCAATAATAAATGATCAGGAATATCAGTAGCTAGGATCAGACCTAGCTTAAAGAGACTTTCAACTTTTGGATCAGACATCAGTAAGTCTTTAACAAAAGTAAAAAAAGGTTCAGTTTTAAAATAAGCCTAAGGGTGCTTTCAAAAGCTGGTTGTTGTGGTGTGAAGCTTTTTATTAGTACACTCACAGCTGTACTGAGAAACTGGGTGCATGTGATAGTGGTACTGTAGATGCATGGGAACTGACTTTTGCAGTGGTCTTTATGTGGTGAACATGTACAGCTCAGAGCTTGGTGGTTTGGATGGTTTGATAAGATGAAATTAATTTCCTATTTTAATTGCTGTTGCTTGCAAGTCAGACACTGGCGCATAAGCATGCAACTGCAGGCCAGTCTTTTGGTGGTTGAGACCTCTGACAGACACAAAAAAGCCAAAGACGTTTTCTTTAAAACACAACAACCACATACCAGTTGTATTTGTATGTTTTAATATGATTCAAACTTCAACAATTTACATACTTTATTTGAAAAGCCCCCCCTTCTTAACTTTAACAACTAAACCTTGTACAGGCTGCCTGGATTTTTTTTTAAACATTTTTTTTTTACTCTAATAATGTCATACAATGTGCTATTGGTAAATGCTTTAGCTCCCCTTTCCCAACTTTTTGGTCTTTGTACTCCATGCCTCCCAACTTTACAATGGTGCACATGGACACTTCTCTGGGGTCCATCCACTTCACACATAAAAGGTTAGCATACCAGATGCAGAGGATAGGGCCTTGTATACAGATAGAACACCAACTCTTCCCTGCCTGTGTGTCCCCCATGCAAATTCCTGCTGTCTTTTAATCAAGTTTCATTTTCAGCAAATCTAAAGCACAGTGCTGTTATGCAAGAAAAAAAAATAGTACAAAGGACATCCATGTCTTTACTGGCTGCTGTAATCTTTGACCAAAGATTCAAACTTCAAAAGAAAAGAGAGAGTCGACAATGGTATATGGAGAGAAACTCTATCCTTACAGTTTGAAACCAAACAGATTTGGAAAGTCTATCTGGTTGTTGAATAAAGAACATGTGTCTCCAGCTCGTTTTCAGCTGCAGGCCTTCTTCTGCTTTTTGCTTGTGGATGAAAACTCAGCGCTGCGTAATTGACGTCCTCAGAAGCCACATTCTGTAAATCAAACACGACATGAAAAGATAAATGAAGCAGAAAACGTAAAGAAATAGACTTCAAGTCAAACTTACAGGCGCACTGTGGAGTTTTGGCAGAGAAATGTGAAAGTTGGAGAAGTGTACAGGTGGTATATGTTCATAACTCTTTACACAAACTCATCAGAGAACATTTGGTCCCTGTAACACTGTTTGAAGATAAAATGCTAAGCGGAAGTTATGGTGGTGGGCCCCAACATTGAAAACATAACTATCCTGGTAGCTTTTTAGCTCCAAACAGTGTTCCAGACACCCTTTTTTTCCTGGGTATAAAGTTTTGTCTTTAGTTCAGAAAATATAAAAATTGTTTAACTTTTCAAACGTTCAAATTTCACTACAAAATCTAACATAGTGCACCTTTAATCTAAGCCAAAAAATGTAATACCTCACTTTGCTGTGGATCCTGGTCCTCTTTACGCGCTAAATGACAGAAGCAGAACATCCTGTCAATAAACTGCTGCTTCATATTACTGTTAACACTTTGTGGCACACAGAAAGCTTTGCATTTGCAGTCCAAATGATAGCACAACCTGTTTGAGGTTTTCTGATGAGTACAACCAGAGTAAAGATGACAGCAGAGAGGAAAACAACCAGAGCACCCAGGATCATATTCAGATAGCTGTCTCTACCAATGAATGCTTCTGCGAGAGAAATTATAAGACATGTCATTATTTTGTATAAAAATCTGTTTCCATCGATTCAAAAAAGGCAACAAAGAAATACCATCTTACCTTGAACTTTGAAGTACGTTGCACTTACAATAACTGAATTTCCTTCTGAGCTAAATCCACATAAATAAAGTCCAGAGTGACTAAAATCCACCTGTTTCATCTTGAGAAACAGATGAGTGCTGTTGGATGTCACGTCAAAGCTGCTGTTTTGAAATTCACCAAAGAAAGAAGCTTTCTTATCGGCGCTGGACAGAGAGGAGATTCTGCTGGTGTTAGATGTGCTGTTCAGTCTGAACCAGGTTATGTGCAAGGGGAAAAGGGTGAAAGTGGAGCACAGCAGTGTGACTTCTTCACCAGGTTGAGCATCCACGGTGTGAAACTCAGACACTGAGACAGACAGCAGACCTGAAGGGGGACAACATGAAAAACGATTTGTAGTTAACTGTAAGGAAGCTGAAAATGTTTGTACTAAAAAAAACAAAAAGAACAAACAGACTACTACTCAGTACTTAGTGAAGAGTAAAGCTGCAATCAAGGTAAGGCTCATCATTGTACGTACAGTATGAATGCACGACTGAAATGTTTGTTACTCAACGGTGCCCCAGTGAAGGTGGGCTCAGTGTGAAGAGGCGGAGCGTCCTTTTGTCAATCCAGTTTCTCAGACTGACTTTGACAAAGATAGATCACATATTTTATTCCGTTTTTTTTATTTATTTTTTGCTTCATGTGTCAGTCCTCCAGTTAATCTCCCCAGCTTCACCGCTCTCCACACAGACAGTAAGAGACAGAAAGGAAGATGATCCAACTACCTCAAGCTTACTAACCCCCAGTATCTGCAAAAATGCTGTTTTTTTTTTTTTTGCAGGATTTGCAGAGGCAGAACATACTGAACTGAAATACAATCCTGGAATCTTCTGAATAACGCCTGACGACTGTTTTGCTTTGTATTCATCTACATTACAGAAGTAATCTGCAACCAAAACTGTGTCTGTAGCATCAGATCAGTATGCAGCAGTCTTCTATAAATCTCAGTGGAGGGCTTTAATTGACCAATCAGAATAAATAATCCAAATAGCTGTACAGTGATGTATCAATCATAGCAGTTGAAATTGCACCTGCCAGATTTATGTGTGCAATGCTTAGTACATTGAGTTTTACATGACAGTGGAAATGAATGTGAACTTCACCTGCTGTGGTTTTGCTGCTGTCTGTCACCTCTTCTGAACATTCAGCCTTCAGCAGAGTGACTGCTTTGATATGAGGCTGTGCATGCGTCACCTTGCAACAGGCAAGAGAGAAGTGATTTGAGTCTGTGCAAGTGTGCGCAAAGTGTAATTAGATTCTCATCCCTCTCATGTCTTCTAACCCAGTTTAAAAAGATCTTTTCAATTCAATTCTTTGGGGAACATGAGGCTTTTTATGTGTTATTATGTTGCAGGAAGCTGAAGGCCGAGTTTTCTCCGGTTGAGTCCTCACTCCATTCTACATCCTACATTGTGCAACAATTAATCACACAGACTTCCTGTATAGAAACAAGGGGGCAAATTCACTAAAAATGGATTCACTTAAAACACTCAGTTTCAAGGTTATTTGCACAAAGCATTATTGTGCTAACCCCTATAAAGTTGTCCTCCTCATTCAGTTTGGGCTTGTTTTGCATCTTGTTTTGGAGAAAAGATATCTGTACCCCCACTCTCTTAAGCTGAGAAATGCACTTTCCTATCTTCAGGGAGATGATTAGATTAGAGGGGACACTTCTTCCTGTCACCTTACAGCTCACACTTCTCCACAGATGTGGTTAAAGTGTACGTGCTTTTGGTAGGGCTGAGCTTCCAACAGCCCTTGATTGATACACCAGTTATTCTAGTTGTGTCAAAGTATTATACAATTACTGAAGTTTAATTTTTAAAACCTCATTCAGATGTGGAATTGTTTTCATGATCACCATCAAAGTTGAGAGCCTTTTTAAATACTACGGTGCAGTTAATGCCACACCTCTCAGATGACAGTAATATTTATCTCTAACTGCACTGGGGAGCTCCTGAGATCTCTTAGGTTCCTCTGGATCGTTGGTAGTAGCCTGCCTGAACAACCAAACCCCCTCCTTGTTCCCTATCCCTCTTTATGCATCTTATCCCATCTCCCCCCTATCCCATTTTCAAGCCCGGAGCAGTTTCGGTAGATGGCTGTTTTGTCATGAGCCTGGATTTGCTCAAGATAGCGCCCTACCACTGCGCCACAAGTAAGGTCTTTTACCTGCCTTTTGTAATATTTAATAACAACGACTAAGGTCTTTTACCTGCCTTTTGTAACATGATGAGGATGGTCTTTTTACCTGCTCTTTTGTAATATTTAATAACAAAGACTAAGGTCTTTTACCTGTGTCTCGAGATGACAGAATTGATTGATTGACTTGGCTGTTAATGTTTGTGAATCTGATGCTTTTTTGCAATTAGATTCATTTTGTGGAGAAATGGTCACCAATGAATAATGGCTCATTAAAATACATGAAAACAGCACTTGTGCTCAAAGATGCAGTTTGTAGAACATTTAACCCTTTGTCTATTTTCTAAATCACACCATGTCCCTTTGTGTCATTTGCACAGGGTTAAGCTGCACAATCCTTTTGTGACTAATGCCCAGAATCACTATGTTTACGTTGGCAGGCCTGGTAGCATTGTCAACTTTTTCAGAATCAGGAGGCTTTGTCTGTATACAGGAGAACCATGTGCGTGGAGAGCAAAGGAGACAGACTGCAATCATAGATCCCTTTGGAACTTCATTGCTTTTATTAATCCCTACAATACGAATACTTCATGCAAATGCAGCTATATGAACTCTAAATGTCACCTTTCAACTCCAATTCCATTCACGCTTCCCAAGTTCCCAAGTCAAGTAAGGTTGGCTGTCACTCCTACTCTGGACAGAAAAAAGCAGATAGATTTCAAATCCTGAACTAAAAGTATTACATTCTCTGCTGATTTACTTTAATCATCCTCAACATGTACTGTGACAACAATTAAGATATGTAGTCCATATACTTTATTTTTATACATTATGTGTTTTGATGGCTTTGCTGAGTGTAGAAAAGCTGATTGCACCCCCCCCTAAACAAAAACAGTGAATACAGTACATGCTGCTTCACTTCACACTTTATTTTCACAGTAATTGGGGTTTAGAGGCCTCATGGCTTTTGCCACCCCAGACGACACTGAATCTCTTCCTGTCAAACAAGTGTTTCTCACTAATGCACTTCTGCAGCCAGAAGTGCTGAAGACAATGTTCCCTTTTCTGAACACTAATGCTGCATATTTAAAAATAGCATGAAAACAGCAGAATATCACATTTTACAGCCTGGTAAAAAAAAGAAGTAATATTGATAGCACACTTGTTTCTTGGCCCACACTGTACAGGGGCGACATTTTTTACAACTCATCAACTGTTTTGATTAAACTAAGGCTGAGAGTTATTCATACATTCACACAATTAATGGCGCTTAGTTGATTGACAGGTGGATGCGTTTTATCTTTTTGTCAGGAAGCTAAATGCTCGACTCAACTCCAGCTTTTTGCTTGTTTTAAAGATTGATTGAGAGTATGGTTGAGACAGCTTTTCCAATATGGTGGCCACCATCTTTGGGCTTCAAACACCTCTTCAGAAACCAATGGGTGATGTCACTGAGACCACATCTACGTTATATACAGTCTATATTTTGAACTTGCCTTTCTTTGAGGATCTTGCCTCTTTATTTCTTGGTTGGTCTGACTTCTAAGTATTCCTGACTATGGGCTGTTAGTTGATTTACATTGATTAAGACTAGTCCTCTTTGTTTGACCTTTCCTACCTTGGAGTCTGCATTTGGGTCCTATCTCCTATTGCCTCATACACACAGCATTTCATTTCACATGTTAATATACTATCACAGTTAATGTATGTTTTCCACATTGTATGAATCTAGAGAGGCTCAGAATTGTTTCTTGGGAAGCTGTAATACCTTCATTCAGATTTATTTTTAAAAGCCTGTGGTTTAACTCATAGTTTGGCTGACACCAAACTCTGCTGTTATTTCCTGTCAAACAAGTAAGGTGTGCATCCCTCACACATTAACTGCAACACAGAGGTATCAAACTCTATATAAGGTTATAAGAGAAACTGACTGTCAAATACATCTTTAAAGGCCCCTACAGCATGAATCCCCAACATCTTTTTTTGGCTAAGAAGACATTGAGCCAGACAAGCCATGCAAAAGCTCAAAGCATTGTAATACTGTATGACACAAGATCATGTCCAGCTGCCTCCTCACTCTATCTGGTAGCAGCATACAAGACATTTGGCTCCGGCTCTCTTCTTTTGGCTTGAGATCGAAATGTCACTGCTGCGTAGTTCAGTTCATCAGAGGTCACATTCTGTAAAGACAATATTTACAGTCATAATGTGTTCACTTGAAATGACTTTTATTCCCAGAAGAGACCAACATATTCTGGATCTGTAAGCAGATGGTTGTTGGTAATTTATAAGACCTTTGATTTAAAAATAGTTCAACTCTCTTAAAATACTTCCAACAGTTATCAAAGCCAGAGAAATCCTTAGTTTAATAGTTGTAACAGGTCGTGTCTTGTCGGGACAACAGGTTTATTGTTGCCTTGGAAACAGATGTTATGTCAAAGACTGCTGCAAAAGGAAGCAGGAGCTGCTACTAAAAGTTGTTGTATTGTTTCTGCATGTGCTGCTGTGATAAAAATGTAATGTATATTATACTTGGATACATTAACTCATCGATCAACATATTCTCTTTCTCAGGCTAGTTTTGTCCGCTTGTCTTTAGTATGGTCAACTCTGAATCTTCGGGGCAAGTAACAGAGAGAATCACTCCCATGATTCCCCGCCAGCCTCGACATCATCTTTTATTTTTGTTTTACATGAGAGCCCCCTGGTGGCAGAATTTACATACTGTTCCTTTAATGCACATGGACAAGAAGTATGTAAGTCTATCAATACACAAATATTTCAGGAACACATTAAATTAACACCAATGAATATCATGTCATTATTCTTCAATCACAAACTGTGTTAAAGTAAATTGAGTTGTATTTACCTCAGTGTGTCCTGGATTCTGTCTTTCTTCAGCAGCTGAGTGACAAAATAAAACATCTTGGTTAGAGGATAGGGTTCATTGAACGTTGTCTTTGGTAAACTTAAAGACCATAAATGCAATAATAAGTACATTATAACATACCTGTCTGAAGTTTCCTAATTTTAGCACCCAGACCAATGGCCACCATGACAAGCAAAAGAGTCAAAGCACCCAGGATCATGCTCACCAGAGTCGCTGCTCCACCACACTCTTCAACAAGAAAGATCATTGTGTCAGAATACATTTTCCTTTTTGAGACTTTAAAACCTGACAGGATCAAACTAAATTATTTAACTTATTTGAAGATATAAGAAGTCTGTGCATCATAGAAATAATAATAAAAATCAAACTTGTAAGGTTACTGTCCGTTCTGTCCACGTCTTCATCTGCCTCGTTGCTTCCTATTAAACATATTTAAAGAAGCTTAGGTCTTTAGTTGCTGTTCCATTAGACTCTTCTACAGAGACAGATCATTGCTTCAGACTCTGTTTTCCTTTTGGAGACTCCAAATTCAGCTAGCTTTTTAACATGAAGGATTTAAAATGTCAGAAGTCTGTTCAATAAAGAAAACTTTTGAGAATATTACTTGTAGAGTTGTTGTTCATGCTGTTATGAGCGTCACTGCTGCCTATAAGAGAAGGATTTCATCTTAACTGATTTACATCAAAATATAAAAGACAATTTGCTGATAGAAGTTTTTTTAACATAAAAAAATTGTGATAATGGGAACAGAGAGAAGGAAAACACTTTAAAATAATCTTACCTTTGATCTTTAGATGTATCGTAGTAAGAAATGGACGTCCATCTTTGTTAAATCCACAGTAATAAATTCCAGAGTCGTTTAATTCCACTGAACGGACTTTGAGAAAGATAGTAGAGGTGTTGGACGACATAGTGAACTTATGATTACTGAATCATCATGATATGTCACTTGCTGTTATAACTGGTCATAGTAGAGACACATTGGATGTCGGTTCCTTTGACTAGTTTAAGCCAATATCTGACTCTACATTGTCCATGCCGGAGCACATCAGTGTGACATCTTCACCAGACTGGACCTCCACAGTCTGAGACTCAGAACCTGAGACAGAGATCCAACCTGGAACAAAAAGACGAGTGACCGAGATATTAAGAGTCAGAACCTGAAGGTAAAACACTTCTCTTCACATGAGTTAACAAATATGAGATAAGTGGATAAGATGCATTTAATGCAGATGAATCAAACAATATTAAACATATCAATGAAGTCACAAATGATGAAACACTTACTGAGGCTGCAGAGAAGGAAAGCTTTTATCAGCGCTTGGTTCATCGTTGTGCGTATGACTGTGGCTTTGAAGTGTCCGTAATTTTGAAGAGAGCAGCAGAAAAGAGAACAATAGGGCAAAAAGGAGGGGTGTTTGATGTCACTTATCCTGTTCCAGTATGTGATGTCAAACATGCTGCAAGTAAAGTAAGTCAAGACACAGACACTGAGTTGTTCAGAGCTCCGCCCTTCAACATTTTTCAAAAATGCTGTTTCAAATGATTCCCTCACCAAAGTTCAAACATATAACACTCTGTGCACAGATAGAGAAAGGTGTTTAACTTTAAATGAAATGTACTCATCAGGAAAACATTGTCAGAAGTATGTCTTTAATCTTGAGAAGTTGAAATGTGTTCATTTTTTTCAATAGTGGAAAAACCTCAGTTTTAGTTCCATGTTGCAGCGACTCTCACAATGTAACATACTCTGTTAGCTTTAGGTAATATAAGAGGAGGAGGAGTCTACAGTAATATGAACAGTTTTGACGTAATGTTCCTACATCATGTATTGTGTATCACATAGCTCTTTCATTCATGCTCAATCATTTTCATCGGCTGTTCACATCTATCCAATAGCACTGCTCCACTCCCTCATGGTTAGCCTATCATATTGCGGCTGTCTTTTTAAAAATGTGACTTTCTCTCTTCCACCAGATCATTCATGTCATTGTGACGTGTGTTTTTCCACCTCCACATCACCACCAAGTCTTCACAGTTTGGTCAGACACTTCATCCCATCAGCCTCAGATCACAGCATCACCCATCTTCCCCATCAACCCCAGTCTTCACAGTGTAATCAGCTACTTCATCCCATCAACAGCTGTGCAGCCATCATTTTCATTCACATGAAGACAGAAACAGACACATCTTGTGAGA